GGTAGACGGAGCATTGGGCTCGTCGGCCCACAAAGAACCTGCCCTCATTATTTTCCAGGGAAAATGTCATAATCTCAGCTTTTCCGGCATTCTACGGCAAAATTCAGATTGATAAATTAAAAACAATCAACAAAGTTTCACATGCAAATCATTACGTCGTGTAAGCGTAACCTAGGAGGATTGGGAATTATTTGAATTGAAGGAAGGGGTTTGAATTGAGGTTGAGGGCGTGGATTCTGTGCGAGCGAGCGTTGCGTAGGCTCGGGTGCGGAGCGAGAAGGCGAGATCTCTGGTTGACGAGAAATGGAAAATTGAGAAGGGAAGTCTGTGGCCGTGGAATTTGGATTTGTTTTGGGAAAATTCCTTCTTGGGTTTCTGTGATGGGCATTGGACACAGAAGGAAGGAGGGGGCTCTAGGCGGCTAGGGCCCTAGTGACTTGTGTGTTGGACGACAATGCCCTTGGCCCCCTCAGCCCTCATGTGTGGAGTCGTAGGGAACCAACGACACGCGTTTTGAGCTTTGTTAAACGGCAGCCTGAACAAACAATTCCTTTTTTTTTTGGGAGTTTCACTAAAATACCCAAAATGGGGGCTGAAATTATAAAAATACTCAACACCCAAAACATTTTATAAACATACCCAAAACTCATCATTACACACACTCAAAACCCATTTATAAACATACCCAAAACCCATCATTACACACATACCCAAAACCCATTTTGGGTATGTTTCTATGTTTAAATAGTGCTTGGGTATTTTTATAAATACATGTCTAGGATTGGGTATTTTTATAAATATCTTTTCTTTTTTTTTATCTGAACAAACAATTCCTTACTCTTGTCAATTTGTCTCTCTACTATTTGCTCCACATTCATAATGGCAAACTTATTGTATAAAACAAGCATATTGACTTCCTTTCTTCGTACAACTTATTGCTTGAGTAGAATTCCCTACAAGATGCTACGAGTTCGTTTGAAATTACTTTTATAGGAAGAATTTCTGCTCATAAATACAATACTAGAATTAGGTACTCACAAAAGACAAATCAACTCTCAAATTTCGATCAACGTTAAATGTTAGATTGCCCAAACTAGGCCTCCTTGTTACTAAATTCATGCAATGTATACTTTAAAATTCAACTCATCGAACTTTGGGAATGACGCAAGGTTCAATAATGTATTGTGGAAAAATCTTTCCTTGTAAGAAATTATACTCCATAATACTATATCATCTATAAATTATATATAGTACATTGTGATAATTTATTACTATGCTTCAAGATGTGTGTAGGGGCTTTTTTCTTCCGGCAGCAAATGGGCTGAGCTGATGAAGTTGTCCCCTTTGCCTGAGTTCGAAAATTAAGCCCCAAAATGCTTCGAAAGGGCAGCAAGGCCTTAGGAAGTATTTTGGTTATCTTCACCAATAAAAATAACAACAAATTACAAATAAATCTTCTAGCTTTGCATGAGAAGATTATGGCATGGGAGCAAAATTATCATGGGTTTAGCACTTGAGAGAAAACTGAGTATTCTTAGGGGAAAATAGGTATTAAGGTAGGAAATGAAGAATTAGCAGAGAGGTTTGGTTGAGAATGAGGGAAAAGAGAGGAATGGGTGGCTTGAGTGTAACTTCCGGCAGCTTGGCAGTGACTCTGAGCAGCCTGCCAGAAGGGGAAAAATGGGGGAAATAAGAGTAATAGACCAAAAAAGCACGAAAATTACTGAGTTTGCAGGTGAGAGAGGAAGCTTGCTCTCTGAAGTGTATTGTGTTGGGTAGAGAGGGGTTCTATTTATAGCTGCTGGGATTTGCTCTTCTCCAAGAAACCTTAATGGTTTCCTCCCAATCTAGCTAAGCTTTCCTCCTTCTTTCTTCTCCTCCCTCTTGACTTACCTCATGGTGGCAAAGTCAGCTCTGCCCAATCCCACAAAATCAGAGATTTTGGGTGCTCCAGGCTTCTTCCAGCGGCTGCCTCGGAGGGGAACTTCCCTATTTCACCCATCTTCTTTCTCCTCTTTCTTCCTTTTTCCATGGCCAAATCTGATGAAGGAAAGAAAGTGGGTGTGCCTGTTGGTTTAAGAGATAGCTTTCTCCCCTGCGTGCCAATACCCTTTGGTTTCTTGAATGTTTGCACTTGGAACTTGTTCTCCCAGCAGCCCCTCACATGTGAATCTTTGGCTTCTTCGGGGTTTTCTGCTTCAGCCGAATGTTGAGGGTCCTGACTTCCACTTATTCAAATGGTTTGGGCCTTTTAATATATAAAACCAAGTCATTTAATAAGTGGGCTAAATCCACCAAATATTTAGGGCTTTATGGGCTAAAGTAATGGGTTATTTTGGTTGGGCTATTTTAGTTGGGCTATTCTAGTTGAGGCAATGGGCTACTTTCTCTCTTGTGCTTACCCGCGTTTGGGCCTAAGAAATGGGCTTGAGTCCCGAGGCCCCCAAGCGACCCGAGACTTCCATTTCTCGACCCATCGATGGGCCCCATGATAACTTGTTACCATCCATACCACAACCCACTCAGGCAAGCCCCGAGCATTTGAGTGGCTTGGGCCCACTTAAGCTTGTAGCGCGACGTGTTGCTTATTTGCTTGGCGTGGCATGTGTGCAAGCGGGTATGACGAACTTTCGCGTGCCCTAATTGGGCTTCTCTTCGGTAAGGTATTGCATTGGGCCGAGAATTTATTTGGGCCAAACCGTGGATTTTTTGGGCCTCAACAATGTGTATTCCGTCTTTTTTGGCCATCTCCAACTAATATTTTGGGGCAAATCACTCAAATGGAAAAATTGTGAGCTTCAACTATTCATCATCTTTCTATCTCCGAAAGCGCACATTTCAATAATCTTTCGACTTTATAGAAACTAAGACAACCATCCCATTTTTCACTCAACTGTTATAAAAATTTCACATCGATTTTAATAATCAACTTTGAAGTTGGCCCATCTCATTTGTCATGGTTTTTCTCATCTCTTACTTCAAATGGAAATGATGATCAAGTTTCCCTAATTAACTAGCAAACTAGGAGAAAAATGAATTTGGGAAGTGGAAGCGATGGAAGAGGAGGAGGAAATGTTAATTCATTCATTCGCCATTGCCGATCTTATCATAAGCTCACTGCCTCAATGAAGAAGATGAGGCTAACAAAAGCATTGAGGTTGAAAACCTACGCAAACAGTTAGGAATCATTAGTGAGTTGATCATAGAAATTTGTGGAATTATTATTTTTCTGAGAACCAGCATTGAGGTTTATCCCCCTCATGTAACCAAATGCAACATGAAAGCATCACACTTTCTTGGAATGAGTACTAAATTTATTCCTTTTACTTACCCTGCGTTTACTAACCTACAAGTATTGGATTTAGTCTGATTTCTAATTTCTCATGCATTTACTAACACATACGAAATAATTAAAAAAATTATGTGAGTTCCATATTACAATTCATAATTCAATATATGAAAATCATGGATTATAATCATTAGGGAAGAGGGATAGTTGATCTCATGTTCATCTATTCTCTCCCTTATTCTATCTTCCCCAATTCATGACTTCCTCCATTCAATTAATTCGAGAAACAATGAGATGACTTGGGCACACTCGAATTTTTTTGTTTGCACAATATTTCTTACTTGAAAGTTGAAACAAACACATACAAATATTTCTTTCTTCTTGTAATCTTATGATGCCAAAACCTAACAATATTAACAATTTCAAGACCATATAAAGTCAACATTGTGTTTGAGAATATATCTCAAATTGGAGAATATCTTTGCATCAGTGCTTAAAAGATTTTGGGTCTTTTCACCAATTGCCAATTAGTTTGGGTTAAATGCTTGCATTTTAACATGGTATATTAGAGTATGTTATCAACATGTTAGGTTCTTTGAGAGCTGAAGTGATGAGCCTCAAGAAGCTGTGTGTGAAAATTCAAGAGAAGAGATCCAGATGGCCAAACTAAAGACTCCTATTGTGGAATTAGGAAGCGCGACATAATGTTGTTTTTTAAAATAATTTTTTAAAGTTAATGTAGTCTCAGTTTCCTTTTAAAAAAATAAAAATAAAAATAATGTGAAATAACATGTTTATGAACCTGATGTAGTCTCATATTTCCTCTTTTTAATGTTTCCCCTTTTTTAATTGGAAACTATGAATGAGTAAACAGATTATTAAATAGATTGAGTTTGAGTTGAGTATTCTCGACACATTTATTATCCCGACACAACACGACTCATTACCACGCCTAGTTGGGAGGGACGCTGATGAGGGGAGGTGGGGAACAAGTTGTTGGGTTGGGTACAATACAAGAGGGGCTAGGTTTTTATTTTGTTTTTTGTTTTCTCTTTTGTGTTTTGATTTTGACTTTTTTTTGCTATTATTTAATAATTTGTTTCTTTAAACTTACGAAGTTGCCCAAAAAAATTGACAGCAAATCACAAATTGGCCATTTTTATATAGTTTAAGTCCTAACTTACCCGAAACAAACCTTAATGATGAATTAACAATTATGATATATAATTTTGAGCAAAACCGCATATTAGCCTTTTTTTTAAGAGTACAGATGCCGTTGTCCACAATAATATCTGTTTCGAATCAAACGATCCTCTAATTTCCGGATCCCCAAAATCAGGTACAACACCTGGATGCCAAATAGATCATAAACGTCAGGGCTCAAGCTGATTCAGTTGTGGCCCACCCATCCTATCGACCTATACCCTCACCGTCACCATAAACCACAACACATACCGAAACAAACCTAGCCTTACGTGTCAAACACTCACTGACACCGCTACTCATCGTCCGCCACGTGTCAAATCTCACTTTCTCTACCGTAGAAAACAAAACGACAACAACAGTAACAAGCCACCTCCACCCCCAATCTCACCCAACTACATGTCTTAAGCCTTAAGGACAGGTTCCTTAACCAGTGCCAGTTCCTCGCCCCCACGTGTCAAAGCGGCAAGGCGGCAAAGCGGCAAAGCGCGTTACCCAGAAGTCTGGAAACTTCACGCGAAGCGCCATCGCAACGTCCAGACTCGTCGTCTCATGTGCATCCCGAGCGATCGTAGCCGTCACATTTTGGGCCGCTAAGCCCGCTGCCACGTGGAGTGAAGGACACGTGTCGGAAAGGTAGCGGCTCAGAAAAGATTATTTAAATCTTATCCTAACCCAGTTCCAAACCAAGCTCTTTCGTTTCTATAAATGCAGGAGCTTCACAATCCTCCCTTTTCCCACACAAATTTTCAAATCCGAAAAAGATCTGAAAAACAAAAGCTACTGTGACTTAACTGAGAATCTGAATCTCCAAAAAGCCGAAAAATTCACACGCAGAGCAAAAGGAAAAGGCAGGGTTCCAAAACACAGCTTTTTCTCCTCTTTAATTTATTTTCTCACTTTCTACGCTTATTTTCTGTTTGGCTTCGGGAATGGCGTTGAACCTAACGCACCAGATCGGAGCACTCGCCGGAGCATCCATTTCGACGACAGATACGAACTCATCCTCCGTTGAATCGGTGAGCGCATCGCCGAAGTGGAGGTCGCCGACGGCGAGCCTGACGTGCAAAACCCAGAGGCCGGACGCAATCGACGGATTGTCGCCGCCGTTGAGCCCTTGCCGGTCGCCTCTCGGGTCGACCCGGCGCGATCTGTCAGTGGCGTGCCAGGCGTTCGCGACGGAGATGGAATCTCCGGTTCTGGAGCACCAGGTGAGGGGTGCGCAGACTAAGGGGACGGGGGTGCCGGTGTACGTGATGATGCCGTTAGATAGCGTGACGATGAACAACTCTGTGAATCGGAAGAAGGCGATGAACGCGAGTCTTCAGGCGTTGAAGAGCGCGGGGGTGGAGGGTGTGATGATGGATGTGTGGTGGGGTTTGGTGGAGAGGGAAGCGCCCGGCGCGTACAATTGGGGCGGGTACGCGGAGCTTTTCGAGATGGCGAAGAAGCATGGCCTCAAAGTCCAGGCTGTGATGTCGTTTCACAAGTGTGGCGGCAACGTCGGGGACTCTGTCACGTGAGTCTCTATCTCTCTCACGTCATTTCCATTGTTCATTGTTTTCACGTTTTTCTGATTGGTTTTAATTTTTTCTTTCACGGGCGACTTTGGAGCGTGGGTGCACGCTCCTTGTGTGAACAATAGTACAGTAGCTTTTGTCTGAATTTGGCTGAATAGATTTTTCTGGAAGTTAATTTACTTAAGCAGTACATCTAGGCCTGGCTTAACAACATATTTGTTAAAATGGATGTATACCAGTTAGAAAAGTAACTGTTGGGTCTTAAATTTGTCATTATGTTTTGCAATTGGGGATAGTAAAACTGTAAAGTTCTCATGATTAGGTACTGATAAACTGTGATTAAAGGAAAGAAACATCATAACCAATATGATCATATGCCATCCTTTTTTAGTGAAAGCTGTAGTTTGGATTGGGGCTGTTAAAATAATGCGTTCATTGGATTTGTTACAAAAAATATAGATTAGATTTTTCTTATATACCATTACCAATAAAGATGTCTTATTTTCTATTGATAATGGCATCTATAGCAACATTGCACTTGAACATTACATTGTTGTATGGGATTTTGGAGATTTGTGGCGCTTTGGTGAATAGTCTATTTTTGTTGAACACAGTATTCCTTTACCCAAGTGGGTTGTGGAGGAGGTTGATAAGGATCCAGACCTTGCATACACTGATCAATGGGGAAGGAGGAACTGCGAGTATTTATCACTTGGCGCTGATACCCTTCCGGTCCTTAAGGGCAGGACACCCGTGCAGTGTTACGCTGATTTCATGCGTGCCTTCAGAGACAACTTCAAACACCTCCTTAGTGACACCATTGTGGTAATACTTCAGGCTATTTATTCTTACTAGTTGAATTCAGTTGGGTGCTTAAGAGTTTCATAGTTGTTTGATTGTGACTTCAATTTTCTGATAGAGTTTATGGTGCCATTGAAACTATCCCACTTTATAAAACTTAATAATAACTGTGTCCCTTGTTAAAGCATCTCCTCTTGTTAAAGAATCGATTACATGTGCCTGAAAGATGGATACATAAACTGTTTACACTGAATCAACAGTTCAAGAGCTTGTTGGGTCATAGCAATTGCCTTAGGAAGAAGTGTTTCTAATGTGTCTTTATTGGTTTGCTGCACTTCGAACCTTGAAATTAACTTAACTTTGAATCTTGAGGTGCCTGAATAACTTGTTTGTTCTTACCTTGGTGGTAAATGTGCTATCAGATGCTTAGGATAAACTCATCCTCTGGCACATGCTGAAAAATCATATTGCTTCAAGTTCACTTAAAAGGAATGCTAAACAGAAAAAGAAAACTCAAAATTCTGGTGTTAATGAATGGCTTTTATTGTTCGTTAAGACTATGCATGTGTCTGCAACCGTATTCAATCTTTAGTTTTGTAACATTTGAACATGCTGCCACATGCCTTTCCTGTTTGTTAATTTGTTTCAATATTCCTAATTCAGGAAATCCAAGTTGGAATGGGGCCAGCAGGTGAGCTTCGTTACCCTTCATATCCAGAGCAGAATGGGACATGGAGGTTTCCCGGAATTGGTGCCTTCCAATGTTTTGACAAGGTATTTAACTCTCTCTCTCTCTCTCTGCTTGTAGCTTTTTGTTTCCTAGAACATGACTAATATATGTAACATGATGCAGTATATGCTCAGTGGTTTAAAAGCTGCTGCTCAAGCTGCTGGCAAGCCAGAATGGGGAAGCACAGGCCCCACTGATGCCGGTGAATATAATAAATGGCCAGAAGATACCCCGTTTTTCAGAAAAGATGGTGGAGGCTGGAACAGTACTTATGGTGAATTCTTCCTCGGCTGGTACTCTCAGATGCTCCTGGACCATGGTGAGAGGATCCTTACCTCAGCCAAGTCTCTCTTTGAGAATCATGGTGTGAAGATCTCAGTAAAGATTGCAGGCATCCACTGGCATTACGGAACCCGGTCCCATGCCCCTGAGCTGACAGCAGGGTATTACAACACACGATTCCGGGATGGTTACATTCCTATTGCTCAAATGTTAGCGCGTCATGGTGCAATATTCAATTTCACTTGCATTGAGATGCGTGACCACGAGCAGCCACAGGAGGCTCAATGTTTACCAGAGAAGCTTGTTAGGCAAGTGGCTATTGCGACTCAGAAAACAAACGTACCACTCGCAGGTGAAAATGCATTGCCAAGGTACGACAACCACGCACACAAGCAGATATTGGAAGCATCGTCGTTGAAAGTTGAGGAAAATACCGAAGGCAACCAAATGTGCGCGTTCACATACTTGAGGATGAACCCGCACTTGTTCCAGCCTGATAACTGGAGGCATTTTGTGGCATTCGTGAAGACAATGAAGGAAAAGGGCAGTCACAAGTGCCGGGAACAGGTGGAGAGGGAAGCCGAGCATTTCGTACACGTTACTACACCTTTGGTGCAGGAGGCTGCCGTTCTTATGCGCTAGGATTGCATAATTTAGGCTTTAGCTAGCTTTGCTTCTACCGACCTCGAAACTATCTTATATATTGCCTGGCCACACATAAAGGTCAGATAATGGCAATACTTCAATCCCTGGTTCTTTTTCCGTAGCTCTTTTATTTAAGTTGTGGCTATGGAAAATGAGTGGGGCTGTGTACCATAAGATGGGCGGTAAATCTAGTATCCCCAAAAACCTTATCTATTATCATGCTAATATTATACATGATTTACACAAACTCATATATAGTTTTCTTGTATGCACAAGTCTTAAAAGTGCCTGTTGTACATTTCCATTAGCCAAATAAAAATGTTCACTCTTCCTTCTATGTATAACTATGGAAGACTCAGTTCTAGTGACGTTTGACTCTTTAGTCTATGACGTGTGTGTGGTACTCTTTCCTCCTATGAGGTTTTATCCCTTTGAATTTTCCTCATAAAGGTTTTAATGAGGCCACTTTATCTCCTTGCTGTCACATCTTGTATTGTCTTCTTGATGTGTTAACGAAATCCATTTTCTCAACCCAAAAAAATAACTATGGAAATATGCTAATGAGAAATATGGTTTTGGTTTTTACCAGCCAATATTTACCCACATGCACCCTGCATTGAAGGGTTTTATAGAAATAGTTTTTAAATGATATTATCTAAAACAAATAGATAAAAATTAGTATTGGATTAAACCTATTTAATGTTTCAATAATTAGAGGATAAACTTGGGGATAAACTTGATAAACTCGCCACGTCATGTGAAAAATTACGTGTACGGTTGTGTTATTTAGAGCTTTCTCAAGTTGTCAATTATGTTTTTTCAGATGCACAAGCACACCAAGTGGAATTCGTTGAGTCATTGGCACAAAGAATTCTATGGCCCCAATCATAAGTTTTTATATTTTTTGGCAAAACAATCACAAGTTTTTATTTAATAATAAATTTGTCCAAATTACAAGAAAGAGAAAGAAAAAAAATCATGGACATTAAATCTTTCACTCAGTGGTCATGTTTATCTTGAAATTTTTTCTCATAGCAAGAAATGCCAAAATCAATGGTATAAATTAGACGCATGTAAACCAATCAATGCCAAAGTTAATGGTACAAATCAACACAAAATTTTACTGGTTAGCTTTTGATGGGGAAAATTTTCTAAAGATAATTTTTTTTGAACGACTTCTCAATTTGGGTTCCAGTGGACACAAATTTGGGTCGACATATCCTTGTCATGTGTGGCATGTAAGGCTTAGTTAAAACAGAACGTGCAAATATGGAACTAATGCACCCTTTGGAAATTTTTATTAAAGCAATAACATTTTCCCTAATATTTGCTATAATTAGAAATTTGGCCCACCTATATATATATATATATATATCTCTTATCCGGATATCCGCACGTTATTATCGTACGGATCGTATTGTAAACAGGCAGGAAAACAGAGAGGGGTAGTACAAAATACACGGCGTCCGCACGATAATAACGTCCGGATGTCCGCATAAGAGAATTTCTCTATATATATATTTTAGTACAAGCTATTGGGGTAGGGGGATTTAGACAAATATTCATTGGGGGTTTGAGGGTTTCGAATCTCAGCCCATATGGGTGGAGGTGGAAAAGCTCAACCAACTGAGCTATATCTCACTTGCCCACCCCCCACCCTTGACAATATTATGGACAGTGTCTACCACTCATCCTGACACGTGACAAGAAAGTCACTACCCGAGATTTTCTCAGTCAATGCTTGGTGGTGCATAGTCCCCTCTTTTGGGAGGACCATGCCAAAATTGGCTATTGCCATACTAATTAATGTCACCCGACGCCCATTTCAACAGCAGAAATACACGCTGCGGAGAGACTCGTTCCCAGATCCCGGTATACACTCCTCTTTTAGGACCATAACTTAGTCTATATATACATATCAATCAACAAAAGTTTACATCAGTAATTAACAAACCCCAACTTACACAGAATCATTCTCATTAATACCATAATTTCTTCAGAGAAAATGTCTAGCATGCAGCAACCCCTCAATGCAGGCCAAGCCCAAGGCCAGGGCCAGGTATATATATGGCATCAATTTATGTTCTCAATTTAAGCAGCAGTATTTAATTTATTATGACAATTTTACCCCTTCTGTTGGTGCAGGCTAAGGCAGAAGAGTGGATGCAATCCACACAGGACACAGCAAATCAAGCTAGGAACATGACATCTGATGCAGCTCAATCAGCCAAGGAGTCTGCCCAGCATGGAAAGGACCAAAGTGCTGGATTTATTCAGCAGGTTAAAAGATTTCTTATCAATTGTTAACTCTTTCACTCTTTTACACGAGAAATTTGACGTATGAACTAACCCTTAATCTAGTAGCACATGCCCTGACTTTAAGACCGTCTTGTTTTCTCTAAAATGAATAAAAAAAATATCGTTAGTTATGAGTAGAAAAATTTGTTGGGTATATTTTGCTTTCTACAAGTGCTAAATTATTTAAAAATAGCTTCACAATGCAATGTTTGGTGTTGTTACAGACTGGAGAGCAAGTGATGAACATGGCTCATGGTGCCATGGACAGTGTGAAGAGCACACTTGGGATGAATGAAAAGAAATGAACAAACATGCCATCTTCCTCTTATGATGCGTGAAGTGGTGTTAGCAGCTACTTTGATGGATTTAGGGTCTTTTTAGAATCATTTTGCTCTTTCCTTAATCATTAGGGACAAGAAAATTTGTCTGTCAGTTGTAATAAACGCTACAGATCTTTAATTTGTTTTCCTTCCAAATCACAGCTTAATTATGTAATAAAACCACACCAAATGCAATGCAATGCATTGCAAACAAGTTGGTTTCTTTCACCTTTATTAATATACTTTCTTTTTACTGTTATCTGTGGACTGTCCAATTCATCATTCTTTGTACGACTAGAATGCAGAAGCATATTTGTTAGTATATTATCTCTATTTATAAAAAATTTGCCAAAGTTAAGAAGGGAAGGGGTGAAATGCACACACAAGGGTACCATGGGAAATTCACCAATTCGGAGCACATCAAAGGCCTGGGCCAATCCAATTAACACTCTATTAGTATTTAGAGTTTTTAATATTTGATAAAACCTTTTTCATCAACCAAAAAGGGGGAATTTTCAATTATACCCTTGTAGCATTGAACAAGTTGAATAATGAACTTAAAATTATAGGGTAATATAGTAATTACGCTCCATTTTTCACTCACCACTTTCTCTGTTCCATGGATCAAATTGCCTTGTGACCTTGTCCATGTGCATTGCGTTCATCGCAACCAATTTATTGCAGCAAGAAAATCAATGATGAGTTCTATAAAAGGACTTTTGCGATATAATTTTAAAGTGTAATATAAAAGGAACTTTTCTTACCCATGCAGAATCCTAGCAGAGAAAATCAAGGCAAAGGATCGAGATCATTTAGGGTTTAGGGTTAAAATTTCTTAATATATTCAAGTTAAAAGTGAGCCTCCCTTGAAGATCATATATCAATGGCAGAAAAAACTCCACTCCGCACCTCCAAAGTATGTAGCAAATCAAGATGGTGTGAACTTCCAATTGACCTCTGTGCATTGATCTTATCAAAATTGTCTGTCAAAAACATACTGCGATTTGAAGCGGTTTGCCCTTCATGGAATAAGGCAGTCAAATATATATTGCAGTCGCCATCATCATTCACTTGCTTACCATTGAGGAATACAAGGTTTCATTGAGGAAATTATAATACATACAATAACTTCACTAGACCCGAAAACTTGTAACGAACTTTGAACTACTTGACCGCATCTTTATAATACATACATTTCGCACGTGCTCGCTCTGCTGCAGAGCTTCGACATACTCAGTTCCTTCCTACCTGCAACTAGCTACCATAACACAATTTCAGCAGTTTACTTGACTTGCAAAAAAAAATTCCAATGGTGGTGTATCTTAACAAGCCTTGAAGATGTTAACAGTATAAGGAAGAAGAATTGAGGCTGAAGGAAGAAGAAGAATATTGAAGAAGAACTCAGAAATAAGAGAGAATTTGCTTTATTGAATTTTCAATCGTATGAACAATTACAGAGAGATAGATCTGTTATATCAGATGTTTACTAACTAATTACAGCTGTAAACAAACTAACTAACAGCTGTAACTACAGCTGTAACATGTGAACCACACGTGCCAACACTAACAAACTCTTAGCTAACTATTACTGTTATCATTCCCCCTCAAATCGAGCTCTAGGTTGCCCAGCCTCATGTTTGCACAATGGCTCAAGAAAACAGGACTATGTAGTCCTTTAGTAAAGACATCAGCTAGTTGTTCTTCAGTAGGAATATACTGGACAGTAAGATCATTCCTTTGCACCCTTTCGCGCACGAAATGAAAATCAATGTCGAGGTGCTTGATGCGTGAGTGATATATAGGATTAGAACTAAGAGCCAATGCAGACAAATTATCACATGAAATTGTAGGAGGCTCAGGTAAACATACTTTCAAATCCAACAAGACTTGTCGAACCCAAGCTAAATCTGCAGCTGTATTGGCCAATGCCCTATACTCTGCTTCAGTCGAACTTCTAGACACAGATCCCTGCTTTTTAGACTGCCAAGAAATAGGATTATTTCCAAGAAATACCACAAATCCTGTGGTAGACCTGCGTGTATTCAAGTCTCCAGCCCAGTCTGCATCACTATAGGCTTGCAGATGCCAAGGGCCTGTAGTGAAGTGAATGCCATACTGTATGGTACCTTGAATATACCTCAAGATACGTTTGACCAAATCAAAATGTGCTTCTGTAGGTGTAGTCATATACTGACACACAGTATTGACAGAATATGACAAATCAGGCCTTGTGAAGGTCAAATACTGTAACGCACCAACAAGACTTCGATACAAAGTTGGATCAGTTAATGGCTGCCCCGCTGTCTGTAATACTTGATTATGTGGCTTGCAAGGAGTTGGACAAGCTTTACAATTGGTCATTCCTGCTTTATTTAACAACTCTTGAGCATACTTGGTCTGATGAACAAAGATCCCTCCTGTTGAATCATAAGACACCTGAAGACCTAAAAAATAAGCAAGTCTGCCCATGTCTTTCATGTCAAACACAGCTCCTAAATCATCAATAACTGTTTGAACCAACTGAGGACTTGAACCAGTCAAAATAATATCATCTACATACAGCAGTAAAATCACAATATCAGAACCTTCATGCTTGACAAACAGGCTAGGGTCAGAATGGGAGGAATTAAAGCCTAAGGCTGGAAGATAACCTGTAAACTTGGCATTCCAAGCCCTTGGTGCCTGTTTAAGGCCATAGAGGGACTTGGCCAACCTACACACAAAGTCTGGATGCTGGGAATCTTCAAAACCTGGCGGCTGTCGCATGTAAACTTCCTCTTCAAGATCACCATGTAAAAATGCGTTCTTAACATCTAACTGACGCAAACACCACTTGTTCATAGCTGCCAAACTAAGTATCAGTCTCACAGTTGTATGTCTGACAACCGGGCTAAAAGTTTCACTAAAATCCAGACCCGGTTGTTGGCTGAATCCTTGAGCCACCAAACGAGCTTTATACCTTGCAATTGAACCATCGGCATTGCGCTTGATCTTGTAGATCCATTTGCTGCCAACTATATTTTTCTGGGAAGGACAAGGCACTAGAGACCAAGTGCCTTGCATTTGTAATGCTTCAAGTTCTTCTTGCATTGCTTTAACCCAAGCAGGAGACTGAGCAGCCATGCGATAGGAAGAAGGCTCATCCGCTACAGAAATAACAGGAATGATAGTATGATAACATTGATAATCTGGAAAAGGGTTCTGTTTGCTAATTCCACTCTTAGCTCGGGTTTGCATATGATGTGTATTACCAGATGGAATAGAAGGTGCAGATATCTCAGAGACAGAAGATGAAGTAATAGCAGATGCAGAAATGGCAGGCACAAGGACTTGTAATTGCTGAGCATTTAAAACAGATGCTATAGAATCTGAAGGAGATACAGCATGAGAAAGTGAAGGACTAGGGTCTGGAGATATGGAATGTTCAGATGCTGCAGAATCAGAGGTTGGCACAGACACAGAGTGATCATGAGGAGATGCCAAATTCTCAGAACCTTGTACAGAATTAGGAATAGCAGAAGCAGGCACAGATACGAGAAGTGGAACTCGGATAGAGGTAGACGGTGAGGGCATAGAGAATACCTGAGAAACATCTGCTGGAAGCCTCTTAAAAGGACGACAAGTTTCATCATGGAGAACATGCCTAGATATCACCAATTTTCCCGTGGAAGGATTATAACAAATGACACCTTTATAACCTTGTGCATATCCAAGAAAAACACACTGAGTTGTGCGAGGTTGAAGCTTATGCTCAGCATAAGGTCTCAAATATGGATAAACTGCAGTACCAAACACCTTAACATGTGTGATATCAGGAACCAAGCCAAATAGTCTATAATAAGGAGACTGAAGATCCAAACTCTTACTAGGCATCCTATTAATCAAATAGGCAGCATGAGCAGTAGCATGAAACCAAAACTGACTAGGAAGATGAGCAGCAGTCAAGAGAGTAATAGAGGTTTCAATGAGATGTCTATTCTTCCTCTCAGCTAAACCATTTTGCTGAGGAGTGTAAGGACAGGATAATTGATGTTCAATGCCCTTAGAAGCCAAATAATCAGTGAACAACTTACTAGTAAACTCCCCTCCCCCATCACTTTGCAAACATTTGACAGAAGCAGTAAATTGAGTAACAAGCATGGCATGAAACTTGAGAAAAGTAGCATAAACTTCTGATTTATTATAAAGTGGATACAACCACGTATAGCCAGTACACTCATCAACAAAGATCACATAAAACCGAAAGCCATCAATAGATTTCATTCTAGAGGGACCCCACACATCACTATGGATTTTCTGAAATGGAATGGTAACCTTTACATGATCAGTAGGAAAAGGGAGTTTATGCATTTTGCCATGAAGACAATCAGAACACACGAAAAATTGAGAATCATCACAATAGGGAAGTTGAGCAGCTTTGAGCATATACTTCACCACTTCATTAGTTGGATGGCCCAACCTGTGATGCCATAAGGAGGATTTAACCTGCTGACCAAGAAACGCAACTGACGGAGACACAGACTGCTGAGAATGTTGTATGGGAGATGGTACAAAAACGGAAGATTGCAGAGACACTGGTATTGGATAGAGCCCCTGGCTACTCTTGCCTTGGATCAGAATTTGCTTGGTGAGCTTGTCCTGTATATAAAATCCAGAAACATCAAAGATAATATTGCAATTGTTATCTTTACACAGTTGATGCACAGATAAGAGATTAGCCGTGAGATGTGGAACATGAAACACGGATGGAAGTGTTAAAGAAGAAAGCTTAGCAGTTCCTATATGACGGATTTGCAAACCTTCCCCATTGCCAACAGTCACATTCTCAGCAGAATCACAAGCAGCCACATTATTAAGGTGATCGAGAGTAGAGACCATGTGATGTGTAGCACCACTGTCAGCTATCCATACTTGATCAGGATTGTAGGAAGTCTGAGCAGTCATTGCAGTCAAGGACGAAGGAGGAGATTGACCTTGAAATGCATAATTGGAACGGTGGTAACAATCCAAAGCACCATGCCCCTTTTTACCACAAATTTGGCACTCAATTATCACAGAAGAGGTAGCAGGATTAGGAGAAGAATGGCGATGGTAACAATTAGCAGCAGTGTGCCCACGCTTACTGCAAATTTGACACTCTGGAACTGCAGATTTATTGGTAGAGAAACCATTGCGAAATCCAGCAGAGGAAGGACGGAATTGAGATGAACCAGATTTACCAGAACCAAAATTGCCACGACCATAATTGCCATTGAAATT